TTTACTCCGNTGCTGACGCAGTCGATTGATCGGTTGATTGGCTACAAGTTAGGCTATTTGTATTATTGTCGTATTCGGAAGGAAATTGACTGCCGCTAGTTACACCATAGTGCAGACAGTTTATGCTCAATTACACACACACACACACACATAATTGATTCACTCCGATAGGACCCCCCGGATATGTTCCTGGTCAGTCATTTGCAGGTACGTCTTTTAACCCTTGTTCCCATTTGTGATAAACGTTTTCGTGGGAGAGTAAGAAACAATATTTTTGCACAGTGATGTACCTAAATGAAAACGATCTATTTTACGAGGTGGAATGAACTCAACCCAGAAAACATTTTTGAAGACTTAATTTTGAGGACCAACTTTTCCTGGAGAGAGAGAGAGAGCGCTACGTCAGAATTGAAACAGTCAAATACGTAAAAAAATATCAATGCGACGCAAAGACGAGATCGATACCTTTCTAATCCTAACAGTTAATTTTTCTCGGACATATGTGGATAAATGTGCGGGGTTTTGTGTTTCATTAATAATTATCGAGTTCCGCGACGACCAGAAGGAATATTTACGCAAATATGGGTTGCCTCATCTCCAAGGAGAGATTTTGAAGCCCATTGCTGCCGCTCTGTTCAAAATGTGAATACAGACCAAACGGCAGATTGAAGAGGAACCCCAGTTAGGAGGCAAACTGGGTTGTCAAAATATGGATGGTAGTTCATTGTGCAGCGGCCTGTGAAAAAACTCTTAAAGGGAGAAAGTTTTAGGTCGGCCGAGTTGACGTGCGGTGGTTTACATTTTGCTAGCGTGCATCCAGTAGAATACAATGGGATCAAGATGTTAACATCCATCAGGAGTACACTGGTGAGCACACTGGGGACCGATATCCTTGTGGCAAACTCATCTGCAGTTTCTGCAAGCCCATATTTTCGGAGCTGTGTTGCAGGGGTTCAGCGCCTTGCTAATGGTTCGAAAGTTTGATTGTGTTTTAACGCGCTGAACTGAACATTCTTCAAAATGAACTGAAATCTGTCCCAATAACGGAATTTCGGATGTGACGAATTCAACCTCAGTGTAGAATTCCATTAGCGATGCGGTATCTGGGCATTCATTTCAAACTGTCTAACCAGTCAGAGTAGTTCCTAATTAGACTTGGCTTAAATGTGACCCCGTTTGCATCTACATATCCCCACCGAACAAATGGGACAAGTTCGAAAACAAATCATGTTGAGGCGCAAATGAAACATTCTCCGGGCAATATCATTGAAGCGATTGAAATTTCACCGGGTTTCGCAATCCGCAAAAATGTTTTTCTTGTCAGTTGACAGATTCACAGGTCGAAAGTTGGCAAGTTAGCAAAATCCGCGCAGCATTTCATCGAAGCGTCGTTGGGCAGAACACACTGTTATTTTTGTTAGTCCATCGGAAACTGGACGGCTGAGATTTTCGTAGAAAAACGGTTCTCGGCATAATTCTAAATGTATTACTATAATCGTTCACCTTTTTCTCATCCGGGACTCCGGCACAATTTCCGTTCGCTTCGATAGGACCACCAAGATACACTCCACCTCAACCAGCACCAGGTACGTTCTTTTTTCATTTTTCGCTCACTGCAAAAAATCCAAAAATAAAACCAAGTGACTGGAGAAAGTTTCATTAACTATTCTAATGCCTCGACGGTTTGGTGACAAACGAAAATGGAACGCGCAAAAATAGCCACCTATTAAGCAATATGGAAAGTATACATTTGACGATCCGGGATTTTCGAACTCTTGCTCATTTATGTAAAGGAAACTAATCACAAGGTTGCTGAAAACTCTTCGACAGCCCGTGAACGGTTTTGCCCTTCTAGGCGCACTCCCCGAGTTTTCATCAACCTACATTCTACTTTTGCTTGCCCATTTTGCCGGTTAGTGATTTGTTTGAGGCTATGCATGTGACGAGTATAAGGTGATGTTGATAGACGCAATATTCTTGATAGACTTCCTCTAATCGATGGTTTGAATCAATTGAAAGCAAGGTTTGGCATTGAACTGTCATCAGTCACGCTTCGCCCCCAAAATTTTTCTATCTGTTCACGTGTTTGATTCATTCCTGTAGGACCCTCGGGATACGTTCCAAGTCAAGGAGTCTCAGGTATATGATGGCTCACATTGTTTTCATTCACGACAAACATTTACCGCCAAAAGTAGATAACTCTTTCTGGTCACGTGAAACTGTCCCATGGGAAGAAACTACAGCATTGAAAAAGGCATCAAAATTTCATTTCTGAAGAGTGACTATTTAGTCAGCTACGTTATCGGAATTATCCGACAATTTGATACGCAACCAGAACTTGGTTAGTCCCAACTCCAGTAGGTATGAATGTGCGAAATCTATTTAATATTACTAATCAAACCAACCCAAGCCGTTCTCAACATCCTACGCATAAGGGTGTAAGTCTTGAGGATCAATGAAATACGGCACTCTGGATTTCGGGATACATAGATGTGCGCTTGAAATGTTTGACAGAATATCTCATGCCTCCAGACAATAAACGAATCATCCTCAAGCCGAGAAAGAATTGTCCAGCTGTAGCGCCCTGTCGGCGTGTAACTGCCATATCATGAGTACTGAGATACCGCCAGGTTGCCCAAGCCTAGACAAGGGAAATCGAGAGGCAGAGGTCGGGTTCGAAACATTAACATTTCTGGTCAATAAATTCGTGCTCTAACCACTGAGCCTTGTCACCCGCAAGCCGAGCCCTACAACAAATCTGTTACGAGTGTAATAAACATGCGAACTAAAATAAAAACACCGGATTGAAGACTCACTACACTTTGGACTAGATTTATTTTGAAAATATGGAGATCATTAGGGTAGCTTCACACCGGAATGATTGATATCGGGGGAGCTGGAAATCAATGTTCATGAATACCGGATAGCACTGAAGGCGGAGAGGTGGTCGGCAAATAAGAAGCGCCCTTGTGTTACCCGATTTGATAATACGGCGATGTTCCATTCTCGGAAAAATGAGCAACTAACGTCGTAGTTTAAATTAACCGTGGAAATCCATGCTCGTCGTCAACTGAAATGCCATGAACCAGAATAACCAATTTGAAAAGCACGCCCAATTTCATATAAGGATCCGTGAAGGATGTCAGTTATATCGAAAACACGCTCCTTCGCTCTTGAAGGTGAAGAAGCAACTCAAGATATGTGATACCTCGTTTGGCGCTGACATATTGCAATCCGACAAGAAGGAGCACCGAAGTCAATAGCTGAAAAATGCCCAAAGTCGAATTGCCTGTCCAGAAATTCCTAGAGCGGGAGCAGTGAATAAATGACCTAGTATGCTAATCACACCTGGTGCAAGCTCTGTAACTGCCACATAAGCCAGTCTGTTTGGGTCTGACTTCCGGGAGATGCTATATTCACGACCACTGCGTGCATTCGTGGAAAGTCCCTTAGAAGCATCGAATCGTTTGTTTGGAATTCGTCAGCAGAATCCTGCATTAATGTAGTCTATCATTTATTCGTTCTGTCGGGTTCGGATGAAATTTGACCCCGGATTTCCCTACTTGACATTCTAAATATAAGTTGACGATTCAAAACACTTACCTTTGGGACTCCTTGAAGATTCTTTTCGAGCTACTCAACAGCACTGATAGATGCATAAGCCAAAAACCTAATAGCCAGATATGGATGTACTCTATGGTTCTCAGTTCTTCAGTGCCATAATCGCGTTCTCTCTCCAAGGCGACCTACGCCCGTAATCCTCAGTGAAATGAATATCAGTTGATAGGCGACGCCCCATTACAGGCATCGCATCAGTCCCGCCGTCTGGAATGGTGAGACGAGCCACATATCCACACCTGACATGGGGTGCATCTTGGCATCTTGCAGGTGCTTTTCGATCGATAGACTTTCAGGTCCGCGGTATGTGAACGGCAGCAGCAGCTCCAATACATTGTAGACAATCAACAGATGTTCCTGCGCAGCCAAGCAAAAATGAAAAATGCAGCTTGTCTGTTTTCAAACGCACGGCATAGCTTCCACCGACAAACCTCACCTGAAGCCTAGCCTAGCTAACACGTCGCCATACATGTTCCAAACCCCCAACCTCGAGGACCAGGAGACCGTGTTCGTCGGACCTCTACCCATGGATCAACCTGGTATGAGGGACTCTGTGAGTGTAGCGCAGACATCCCCCGGCGTAGCTCAGTTGGTCGCCGAGGTACACAAAACGCCACACCACGGTAAGGTTCAGTCTCTTCGTGACGTAACAACAAACGTGTCCTCGTTTGAATCAACTTCACTGATACATCTATGTTCTAGACGTCTGAGGGTTTCCTTCGTTACCACAAAGTGTGCGATGCTTAGCTTTGCATATATCGAACCGACAGAACATTTCTACGCTTTTCTGCCTTTTAGTTTCGTTTTTACTGACCAAGGAGACATTTGGGTTCGTAGGCAGAAACATCAGCGAATCGACACATACACTAATGTGTGCGATTAAGTTTAGCGCCGAGTAAATGACATGACACAAAAAACCAGAAACGAGTAAAGTGGAAAAAACCACTCAGGCCCAAATGGGCGAAAAACACTAAAATTTCATTACGAGCTAATGACAATGCGCGCACACACACACACACACACATAATTGACTCACTCCGATAGGACCCCCCGGATATGTTCCTGGTCAGTCATTTGCAGGTACGTCTTTTAACCCTTGTTCCCATTTGTGATAAACGTTTCCGTGGGAGAGTAAGAAACAATATTTTTGCACAGTGATGTACCTAACTGAAAACGATCTATTTTACGAGGTGGAATGAACTCAATCCAGAAAACATTTTTGAAAACTTAATTTTGAGAACCAACTTTTCCCGGAGAGAGAGAGAGCGCTACGTCAGAATTGAAACAGTCAAATACGTAAAAAAATATCAATGCGAGCAAAGAAGAGATCGATACCTTTCTAATCCTAACAGTTAATTTTTCTCGGACATATGCGGATAAATATGCAGGATTTCGTGTTCCATCAAAAATTACCAAGTTCCCCGACGGCCGGATGGAATATTTACGCGGATTTAGTACCCTTGAAAACAAAGGTAAGCTGGATCTACAAGGAGAGCTTTTGAAGCCGTTGCTGCCGCCCTGTTCATAATGTGAATACAGACCAAACGGCAGATTGAAGAGGAACCCCAGTTAGGAGGCAAACTGGGTTGTCAAAATATGGATGGTAGTTCATTGTGCAGCGGCCTGTGAAAAATGTCTTGAAGGGCGAATTTGTAGAGGACCGTTTTAGATCGGCCGAGTTGACGTGCGGTGTTGTACTATCTGCAAGGAAGTCAACAACAAACGGGACTTGCGTTCAGGGTGGAAGGCTCTAGTTTTCTGATCCCTGAGGCTTTTGTTTTATTCTAGTTTATCTTGGCTTATTTTCATGGACATGTTTGACGTTGTTTTAGCTTTCATTCTTTTAAATGTTTGTCTCCTTTCTCAACCAATTTCATTTTGATCGTTGCGCATTTACAGGCTATTCCACTTCCGGGCCCTGAAACACATTCCTCGTGATTATTTTTACTGAACCTTAGCCTTACACGAGTTGGCTGAAGTTCTGGCCGGCTGTTCTACCACGACTTAGACCTATGGAGCACAAGCGACTTTGGAGTTTTCTTCCCTTGAATTGGGCGCTCAGTCATCTGTTCACTCCTCTCTTCCCTTCTCCCACAGTCTTCATGGAACGCCACATTATAGGTTTAAAACTGAGGCCCTCGTTTCATATACTAAGAAGTTTATCACGTGCAATCATGACTCTTTTCGCTCAGCTTGTTTTTCACCTCAAACCCGGTGGGTTCATAGGTGCGAAGCGGCTTGTAGCATGTTTTAGAAACATTCTGAGCGTTTCCCCAAACTAATTGTCAAATGCAGCTTCTATAATCTCGGCTTCGTGCGCCTTCGAAGTTGATCAGCCCCAACACTGAGATTTTTCCTAAATTTCTTAACTTCCCTGCAGGTAACGAATTTCGAAACAAGCTAGCTCTAGTGTTGGGTGATGTTCACAGTTCAATTAAATGTTAGGCAATAATCATCCGTGTGCGACATGGTGGGCTGAAACGCCGGAAATTAGGAGAGTCTGTGGTCGTGAAAAGAACATTTTAACATCACTTGCATGTGACTTCAAAAGTTGTGGATTTTTCCATCTTTCCATTCTTTCCGTAGGATATCAAATGCCGTCTTATCAACAAACGCGTAAGTGATCAACACCCCTCATTCGGGACAAAAAGTTGTGTTGAAAATAAAAGATTAACTTTCCAACATTTGATGGGCAAGCAAATTCGGGAAGGATGTCAACGATGTTTTGCTTCGGGTAGATGTCCAGAATAGTCCGTCGTTCAAGAACGGTTTGCGTCACCTACTTTCAACGATTTTGCCACAATGTCTCTGTAAAAATACGCTGTATGCCACATTGCATCCACTTCAATTAATTGCTAAAACTTAGGTAATTGCTAAAACTACTCAACCCCCAAGCCATTGATTCAAGGTTTCACAGTCTAAGAGTAGGAAAACGTGGGGGCCCTTGGATAGTGAGTAGATACGCGTTGAAGGAGACAGCATTGGTGAACGAGCGCCGCTGACCGCACTACAAAGCCATTTCTTCTAGTGTCAAAGCGATTAGTGAGTTAAGTCTCGGGGTCCCCATGCAGGGAGGTAGAGGCTGTCCACCCAACTGATTAGTGAAATGCCGTTCCACCATTGTCGCATATCTTCCTACTGATACTTGTCTTTCTTTGGCCGTTTGATCGAATCAGCTGAAATAGGACAGCGCTGTTGCCTGCAGCAAAAGCCTTCTTCATTTTCTGGGGCACAAAAATCCATCAGCACTGTCACGCTTCTAAATTCTGATTGGCTGGGTACGCCATCACGGTCACTAATTGTTGGCATGGCAATCATATCAGCTGATCTTGATGATATCCACTATTCAATTAGTCGAGTCAGATAGCTTGGAAAAACGGTTTTGAAACCGCAGAGCATAGCTTCTTTAACCGGTTTTTTACTCAACCCCCAAGCAATCTTCGTCATCCGCACGGCTTTGCGTTTCCATTAACTTTCTAACCAGGTCAATTCGATAAGTTTGAGCTACTGAAATTTGTCGAAGTTGATGGATACTACTGTCCTGCTTTGGAACATGTAGTGCTTGCTGAAATCAAAGTGATAACCGGGTCAGCACAATGGCATAATCAGGCCAAATTGCGTACCCCAGAAGGAGTGGCAATCTTCACTTGAGGCACCTGATCGGTAAATGATAGCCAAGTGGTCCAACTGATTCCATGATTGTCTTTCAATTGGTGGCCTCGATGTAGCTCGATGTGAGCGTTTGTGCTGAAAGTTCGTACTGGCCACGGAAAAACGACATTCAGCACATAAATGGAGCAGTCGCTCCACATTATTCGTACACCGGGCATCGACTCCAGGGTATAATCTTCCAACACCCACCAGGATTGCTATATCTATCCTGCTTGCTGACCGAAGCAAACGCGACAGTTCTTAATAAGACTCGTCCTTTCCTGTCTCAGAACTGCAGGCGTATGATAATACAACGAACAAATACCACTTATGAAATCGGTCTGCATCAGTTTCAATTGAGCCGGACAACCGCCCATCATAAAGGCAAGGGTTTACTGGAGTAAGGTTTGATACAGCGTCTTCATCCTTGGGGATAAGTGCAAATCCCACGCCGTAGACACCACCAGCCATTGCGTCGTGATCACCAGATACCCTTAGAGAGGTGTTTAAACTTTGAGCAAGACCTAAACGGGTTGAGGTGTACGATCGACTTGGAGTCTTGTATGCGTATTTCGGGGAGTCAACATACATGGACAGAGAGGGGAACCAAGTTTTCATCAAGAGATGCCTGTTGCCCCCCCCCACATTTTAACCCTATCATATCACTCACAAAACGTTGGATCTAGATGGAGGTTAACTAGGTGGACACTTGTCGAAAAAATTCATAATAGCGACGGTCCCGTTGAACGCTGATATATTCCTATTGCTCAAGAAAAGATTCGCTAGTCCAGCAAATAATGAAGGTTCCCAACGGGTACCTTCGGATCACTTTCCTCCTAAGTACGACAGTACACTAGACAATAAGTATTACATATCGGCACATTCATCATCCCGGCACGGAATACATAAAAGATATCCTCAAGACGCAGCAAGAACAGGATCCTTTGTATCCTGAACACACCTAGGGAATTACAAGAAGCCATTGCTTGAAGACCACGCGCCAAATTTACGCTGAATTGAGCGTCACGAATCCCTCCTATCAAACATGATGTCAAAGGTTGCAATACTCGTTTGGCGAAATCATCTCCTAAAACGTCTGACCATCATTCTTACGAAGGACCAGTATTTGTTGGAGACTTCGTCCTGTCAGTGTAGCCGATTTATGATGAACTCCTCGAAACTGTTTTGATCTTCATTGGGGGTAGTGCACATGTCACAAAAATTCTGACGACTTCCCGGTTATTAGTTTGAACATTTGACCATTCAGCCACGAGCACCTAATTGCACTTGGACGAGTGCCACTCATCCTTTAATCACGTGATCCAAATCACGTGCTGACCGGGCCCCGTGTGATTAATCGGAGGGTAGTCTCACTAATCGGGTGAATTGTATCCTTCCTCTGAGCTGCTTATAGATTGTCGGTAGTTTCAGATTTGTAAACTTTTTGCCAGTCTACTGATATACAATCTATCGGACAGCAATGTGTCCTTGTTGTACAACAGTTCATGCTTTCTTCATTGCACGGCTTATGAAGCCTTGTTTTTTGAAGACTAACCTTGATGAGTTATTATTCACACACACACACACACACTGAAGGGCGCGGAAAGGTGGAACGGTTGTCCGAGAAACTGTACTAGATACTAGGCCGCATGATGTGAACTGCGTGACTGAGTGAGATAACAGTTAATGGCACAGCTGATCGAACAGTATACTAGTCACCAAAAGAACTACCATCGGTTTTATTGGCCCAGGAGATTCAAGGGCTTCGTAGAGCTGATCATCATCAACAAATATGTCACTGTACGACACTTCTGAGATGTTAGATACGATGTGAGAAGTCTACTGTTAGGAGTCTCCAAGTGATAAATCAGTCACCCAAAAGAGCACAGTGTCCAAAATTAAATCACTGTCGCCAAACGTGTGGTGATGAGTAACGCTAAGGAGCATCTCCCTTTCAAGCCTTTGATCAGTGACACATTTGATTTGTGTAAAAAATGTCCCCGCAATACTACTTAAACGAAAAAGCACTAGTGGATGAAGTACAATTACATATTTCAGCTGGGAAACCATTTGTTACTGTTTAGTACTGAATCAGCATTTTGTAGGCTGTTTTTCGATCAAGAATTTCCTTTTGGATAGCCATCTAATACTAACAAATGCACGGGTGTTTCAGTCTGTCCAAAACTTCTTACATTGTTTTTACAGGACCGGGGGCCGAGTCACCAAAGTCTGGTACGTTGAAATTAAATCAGCTGCAATGATGATATTGATAAAACTAATCTGGTAAGCTCTCCATTTTGCTGATTTAATGAACGCGGTTGTTTTCTGAAGCCATCACGCTGTCCAACACTTTAAATTACAGCTCTGCTTCGTATTGCAAGAGAAAGTGGTTTATCTTTGGTCCGTAAGTTCACCTGCTAATATGGCGTTGTAAATTTACTGACATGAGGATCACAAGTCTCATTCTAAGGCTTGTTATGTATAAACTACTCGAATACGGTTTGATGCCAGTATTATTACAGGCTAGCAGTCAATTGAATCAGAATCGGACGCCGATCAGAGTAGTAAGCTGGTAAACCAATAAAAATGGAGACAGAAGCAGCACGGTCATCTGCAATTTGGCTATGATTGGCTACAGCCAGAAGGCTTAGACATGACGCCATTGGATAAAAGAATTGCTGCCCTTTTGAAGGCCTTGACCAGTGCGGATAGTTAACACGCATTGACTTACGCACACGTACGTCAGTCTCAAAGTCCAACTGCACAACACAAAAATAAAATTCCATCTGAGGTTAAATCATGATCGAAGAAATTCAACCCTGATTTAAAATGGTTAACAAATATGTCCTTCAAAACTGCAAATCGAACAGAAGTTCACTGCGTGCACTGAGGATCTTGCCGATTATTAGCTGTTTCGATTCGAAAGTAGAATACTTAGTTCGTCCGAAAATGGGACAACTCGATTAGGTCATTAGATATGATGGCAACCAGGTGTGGTGTGCAAGACACTCGATTAAGTTGATTCCCTCCTCTGATGATAAATAGAAGGTACACACTGTATGATGCAAACCATTCAAAATCTTGGTCCCTGTAATTCACGATTCTGATACCTGACGGAACTTCCAAGATATTATGTCCAGTTTGTTGATCTACTGAGCAGGTTGAAATCAGTAAAAGACATCAGAATATACGCCCCCTTTATTTACCAGTTGGTTCACTCAAAAACATCCACTCGTCAGGAAATACATCTGTTCCCAAGTGTAGGGTGTCAACTCATGAAGCGTTTTATGGTTGAGCATTCACAGAGCCAATCAATATCATTGTATTATCCACCAAGTGTATTCTATATGGTGCAGCGCAGATCACTCATGAGGGTGACCGTACCAGGCCAAACTGACTCATCTATAAATAAATATTGCAAAAAAACTATGACACTCTCAGCATCTTCTTCGTGATACTTTCTTGGGATGGTGGAGACGAATTTAGCAATGAAAATGAATACAGTAGGGACATATTTAACTAAATTTCCAAAGTTTTGATCTTTGCCTCCAGCAACTAACAACCGGCCAATATAAGAGCAGTATCAGACTGGTTAGCCAAGGACTGGTCGACATACAGTGGTTCGTTTGATCTAGGCAGCATTCCTCTTCATCGTGTGCATGTTTCCTATCGGATCCTGGAACTAAGTTGGCACGCGGCCTGTCACTCTTGAGTCTAATCTGTTTGACTAACTCTGGCAGACCAAGTGGCAAACTGTGCACATCCGTCTGGCCTGTCAACGCATGTGTGTAGATGGCGGCCGACTCAACACAGCATATCTGTGGACACAAGTCGAGATGTTGTTGCAGTAGGCTCATTTTATCAAAAATGACCTTCAGCTAGTGCTTAGAATCTTTCATGCTGCTCAGCGGAATGTCTGTCATTTCGGTGGAAGTTTCATGGGTAAGCTAAATAAGAAATCAGTTATTTTCACAGATATATCACAGAATGTCCCTACTTCAGCTACCTGCTATTGAGAAATTTTGTTGTGAAGTCTTTTTACCCATTAATGTATGTAACAACTTGTCCGTTGAATTTCTGCATGCATTCGCAAAGGTGTAGTCCGTTTAATTTCCGCTCACGGTATCCAAGATTCTCTCGCAGTCACAGAAAGGATGCGTTTACGATTGCAATTCACTAGGTTAGTAACTAGTTAAACCTAGTTAAACTTAGTTACTTAAACCTACACATGCCCCAGTATGTGCCAAACTTGGTCAAACAAAACCCGTTGTCCCAACCATTTGTCACTTGTTTTGTTTAGTTGTGTGCGAATCTCCTCAGTTGATCTGTCATGTCTCTGTTTGGTAGTGTCACCAAAGACATTGCCACCAAGGGATGCCGTAATATACTGCTGGCTAACTAAGACATCTGATAGGTCACACAACTCCTCATCGTTGGTGAACGCCGGTTACTTCCAACACTGGTTCCATACTATATGGACTGTTAACCTGACGATAAGTTTCGCACAAATTCTTATCAGGGTTTAAGTAATTTCGCGTTTTTTCGAGTGCGTCGAGGCACACTCCGGCTACTCCTAGACACTGAATTGGACATATGGGACTGGTCTCACATTTGTGGTACTTCGCATTTGGCTAGATTTGACAATCCGCAATTTCCTTTTCTCCATTTTGTGCCGAGTTTATGGGATCTGTCATGTCTCTGTTTGGTAGTGTCACCAAAGACATTGCCACCAAGGGATGCCGTAATGTACTGCTGGCTAACTAAGACATCTGATAGGTCACACAACTCCTCATCGTTGGTGAACGCCGGTTGCTTCCAACACTGGTTCCATACTATATGGACTGTTAACCTGACGATAAGTTTCGCACAAATTCTTATCAGGGTTTAAGTAATTTCGCGTTTTTTCGAGTGCGTCGAGGCACACTCCGGCTACTCCTAGACACTGAATTGGACATATGGGACTGGTCTCACATTTGTGGTACTTCGCATTTGGCTAGATTTGACAATCCGCAATTTCCTTTTCTCCATTTTGTGCCGAGTTCATGGTATAATCATGGTTTCATGTAAATTATACATAGAAATATTTACCAGAAAACCGTTCAGCAGACTCTTTTATTCGAAAGGAAAGTTGTTCAGTGCATAAAAGACGTATCAACAGGAATTCCCGTGAGACCATTTCACCTGTAGTATGCACAAGGATTTCCAATTTTGAATTCAGATCAGCCCAGTGGTAGTTGCTGTTGAGTCCGTTAGAGCGGTTTATGTAGTATGTCGTTTCTTTCAGTATACATTCAGATCTTTCAAGAGTAATCTGTAGGCCATGCGAAAGCTGATCGCAGCGTCAGCGAAGCAAATGCTCTTGAAAAATGTCTTATGAATGCCCGAATTATATTTTCGGGAGCAGGAGGGGAAAGATCGAGAAGGATCGAAAGAACGATTCTCCTGTTTGGGTTTCTCATACTGTATAATCGGATAAATTTACCCCATTCAGTATATTCACATGTGGTTTCTACCAGACAATAATTTTGATGCGTTAATGTGACTTCAGGAAGGTCTCCACAAACTATAATGTGTGTATAATGTATCTGTCTTACTAACTAAATAATACTACGTGAAGCTTTCAGTTTTTATAAGGGTAGCCGTTTCATCTATCGCAATGTTGCAGACGAGAGTGATGGATCAATGCGTATACGCTTCGATGAAGCAAGTAAGTAAAGAATTGGACGAATGCATTCTTAGGGCAGTACAAATGAGGTGCACTATTTGTCCGGCTGTCTTCTCTAACTTTCAACAGGTATTCTGTTATGACGGTAAAAGACCACGTCTAACTTGTCGAGCCAATCCGAGTGAAGTCAGGATTCTGTGACAGCCTGAAAGGAAACTTCTGATTGGCTGGTGGATCGATCGATATAACCAATAGGATTACCGAGGCACGTCACACCGATCGTGCGGTAACGCGCTCGCTATTTCAATCATGTGATGTAAGGGCTGCAGAATGCTGAGTAATCATGTCAAATGTCCTGGGCTTAAACCCCGAACGCATATCAGCAGAATACTGAATGGGTAAACTGGACTCGTCTTTTTAAGAGTGATCGTGTTGGAACAGTGGATACACTCCTCAGAAAAGTACCAGCTCAACGGAAACATCCAAATTTTTATGGCTAAATTAGATCACTAAATTTTGGACAGTTCCGAGCATCAGTTTGGTACGAATGGAACTATTGTGAAAAAAATTACAGTCTGAATCTATATGAAAAGTACACAAGTGGTCCATGTCTAACACCCTGGGCTGGAATAGATACAGATGCTGGCTTGAGAGGCCCCTATTGAGGTCAAACGTTCAGGGCACAAATGTATCTGAAAGGGAATCCCAATCAGAGTGAGTAAACCCATCCTTGACGTCAGGA